CTCCTCTCCTCACACATTCCTCTCCTGTCAAGCCTTTGTAAGTGCTGACTGGCCAGAAAGCTTCAAAAACTGCCCCAACCCTTTGGAGAAAACCGCAACACAAAAGATCTGATGATCTGAGATTACAGCATTAACTCAAGTCTTTTGCAGCTCTGTCACCCTCCAACCCTGCTTCTTGCTTCAAGGGGTTTCTCTTCCCTCCTGGTTCCCTGGGATGGGTGCACACACCAAGGCTTGCTCCCTGCTGACTTCAAGAGGATGCCACACCAGATCAAGCCCTCAAAGCACAATTTCCATGCAGTGGCGGCTGCTTCTCTGCATGCGAGCATGCTGATGCCTGCAGAGGAGGGATGGCAAAAGAAAGGGGACAATATTCTCACAATCAAGTCACGTAGTGTGTGAAGCTACCGTGATCCTCCTCACTACAAACGGTTTCATGCTGGTAAGGCACTATTACTCATCATGTTGAGAACCCTAACACTGTGTCTGACCCTAGACGATAATGAGTCCATCTCCTTCCCTAGCCACACTGTCCTTTCCTCTCCAGTGACTGCTATGCCCACAGGGATGTCCTTCAGCTCCCCCTGTGGAGGAGCCAGGCAGCTTGAGCCGGGGACTGAGATGGATTCCTTTCTTAAATTCAGTCTAGCACAGGACAGAAAGATAGGGAAGAAGAAAATAAAGGTTTCAGAAAAAACAGTTTGTGCGTTCTTTACTCTCTCCCTCGCTCCTGCCTTCTCTCCTTGGGTTTATTTGTATGGTCCTGCCCCCATACTGTTGGAGCATCTTACCATCTTTAATGTACTGGCCTCAGAACACGAAACGCATGGAACTGAACCACCGTGAGATAAGAAACTTGCCCAGGGTCATTCCAAAAGCAGGCAAAAGCAGGTGACATAAACAAGAATCCAATGGCAGTCTCTTAACTGCCACTACAATGAAAATTTTCTCAAAAACCACTTTTCCATTCACCATCTCCTTCTCTCTGGCCTCTGCTTGCCTTCCCTACTTCCCTTTTTTCATGACACCCAGCCTCTACTACCTGGACACTTTTACTTATTCACGTAGTTACACAGAGATTTATAAACGCTGACTACATCATTCACAGAGATTTGGGCATTCAATTAATTTAAGCTTTTTTTTTCTTTTCTTCCAGCTGGCAAATGGTCAGAGAAAAGATCATGGAACTTTTTAATTAATTCATTATTCAACACAGTCCACTAGCTTTTCTCAATAGCTCTGACAACGCAAATTGTTCATAAATGAACTGTTACAAACATTCACAATGTGACTTGTGCAACGGGTGCTGCACAAGCCAACAGCATAGGCCACGTGTTGGCATCTCTACTTTACGGGCCACAGCACTCGCATCCACATCCGGAGCCAAAAGCAACATAACTGAGTCTGCAATACAGCCCAGCCTTAGCATTCAGTGAAAATTAAAGTACTCATGCAAAATCTTGTAAAGCTTTCAAGTGCCTATGGAAAGGTATAGGAATAGTAACGTTTCCTGCTCATCATATACACGGTTCATTCTCCAAGAGGTGATTTGCCCAGTTGGGACAATGTGACATAGACCAGCTTCATTCCTTTCCCTTCTAGAGTGTGCCTTCACCTGCATTTCCCTCTGCCCTCCCTTCATGTTTGCTACACCCACTAATCTATGTGAAGAGTACTTCAAAGGAGGCTCAAGGTTATTGCTACTGTCAGGCAACCTAAGGCTACATCACATCTGCCCTTAGCCAGGGGAAAAGGCCCAGAAACAGTAGTCCATGGAAGGTGGAAGATGAACAGTTGCATGGTGAAGCAGTTGCCATGTGAGAAGTACTCCCTTTGGGGGACTTGTGCCCCCCCAAAGCCCCATGACTTTGGACAAGCCAAGCAACTCCCCCTTTCCCTGTTTTCTGGTTCCTGTAATGGAGATTAACAGACAATCACTTTGCAGTGGGATTGGAAAACTTAATTAAGCTGGAACTCAATAAACTGGGGTTGTAACCTAAAATCTTCTGTGAGTCATGGACAAGTCACTTCACCTCTGTTTCTCAGTCTGTCCATCTGTCATCTGGGTTATACTGAAAATAAGAGCGCACTGCTCTCTGCACGCAGAGAGGTACTGATGAAAATAGGGTAGAGGAGGTGGCCATTTTCATCACTGCTATGTTCCACATGCTTTCCAAAAAGCACAAAGCAGTGTCAGAAAGATAGGGTTTACTTTGGCTGGCACATGGAAAACGATCCATGTTGTTAAAGCTACCATGGGATAGAGATTTCTAGAAGATCTAATTAAACTAAGCATTTGCTGAGCGAGGGAAAGAAAAAAATATAAGGCAGATCAGTTAGATGGCATAGCAAATTAACCTACAAAGGCTGAAGAGGCAGATGGGCCCCGAGCTGAGTCCAAAAAGAGGCAGGGAAACGGCAGTGTGTGAACAATCAGGGCCAGTGAGGGGCAAGGCAGGAACCACGTCATCAGCACTACGTGCCACCAAGGGCTGGTACCCTTAGGATCTAACCCTGAGCCAGACAGTCAGGTCAAAAGCAAAAGCTCTAAGTGCTGCATTCAGAAGGAAGAAAAAGGAGAACCGTGCTGCCAGGAGGCCTTCTCTAAACCACAGGGAACACAAAAAGGAGGATTATTTCCTGGAAGTTAGTCCAGGAAAGCTTAGGATCTCACCCAAGTGAGAGAGAGGCAGGGGAGACAAGGACTGAAGCTTTCTTTTCAGTCTTGTATCATGTCCTCACTGCCTGGGTTTGCCCAGCTCGGTAGCCCAATCCAAGCCATGCTCTGCAATGTTGCACTGCAGGATGCTCCACAGAGCCTTGGCACCATTCTGAAATCATCCTCTGGAAAACAGGTCTCACGAGGACCCACTGTTGGGGAATACCATCCCACAGACAAAACACAAGAGCTGGAATCAACAAGGGCCTGTGAGAGGGGAGGAGTGGCATGCAGGACAGAAGCTGTGAGTGAAATCACAAGCAACAGGGTAAGAAAGTCAGTAAAGCCACCTAACCCAGTCAAACACAAGGTACAAGAAAGGAAGCCACTTTCCATGTAGAAATCAAGAACTTCAGAGGACAATATCCCAGAGGAAGAGGAAAAAATTCTAGCCATCTATATCTAGATATCTAGCTAACTATCTAACTGTGCCATCATCGCAAAGGACAGATCACAGCTCTCTAATGAAGCCAGATACGGGGATCTAGGCAAAATGGGCGTGTCATGGGTCGAACATTTCTCGTGTGGCAACACCACTCGTGACCTTGTCTGCCAGGCCAATCAGGTACTCAGTTATGGGAGAAAGAAGAGATTAAAGCCCATCATTGTACCATACACGTTCTAAATGTTCTACATCTCAGGAGCACTGTGCTTGGCTTTGCCTTCAGCTCTCTGTTACAATAGATTTTGCAGGATGGTAAACTCACCCAAAGTATTGTAAAGATATCAGGATCAAGGAGATGGTAGATAACAAAGTATCAGTGCTATGCACATCTGAAATACACACACACTAAACAGAGAAAGCAGGGACAGATTGTAAAGTAAGAAGTGAAGGAGATCGGACTGGGCGTGAAACCATAAAGCAAAGCAAGAATTCAATTTCAGGACTGTCAAACTCACTTGTAGCAATGAAAAAATTCACCCGAGAGAGGATGCTGTTCTCAGAAAACTGCTCATTGAGGACGCAAAGGGAATACGGCACAGACGAAGTCTTCATCAGCAAAAATAAATCTACCTCCAGGCACCGACCCCAGGCTGATCAGGACTGATGATGGCAAGGGTCCCCTGGAGAAGCCATGGTTTAACTGACTACATTTTCAGCAGGGTGCACCTGGGCTGTAACTGGACCTACATCAACATAGCTGAGGAGTTTCCACTGAGATTGTACTGTTTTCCTCACCTAATCAGACAGCTTGAAGAAAGGTGCCTGCATGTGTTCTGCCTATAGAGGTCTGTACATACCATGCAGCCAAAATCCTACTTTGCAACAAGCACCCAGAACTGCTACAACAAGAAGCGACAGGATCGAGGGCTTCCCTGTCCGTCAGGCAAACAAAGATGGCCCCAGTGTGCTCCTGTGGCTGGACTGATTCTCCATTGCAGCTAGCTCTTTCTCCTCCTGAAGAGCAAACAGGAGCTGGCCATGGTCATATACAGGATCTTGGAGCCTATTGTGTGACTCACTGCTAGCAAAGTCTTAACTACGTGGGGCATGAAACACCTGCAAAGCACTTAATACGGACACATAATGAAGCGGACCCTAGCTCTCTAAGCGGTATCCCACCAGCCAAGACACAGACCTCTCTGAAAGTGTGGGGATACACCTCATGAAATATGTCCACAGGAGAGCTTTACATTCAAGGCACATATTGGGATTAAATGCCGATTTAAAAAACCTGCAGTGAAAAGGAAGCATTTACTTTATCTACTATGGCAAAACATAGCCAAGAACAAACCAACAAATGAAAGAATGGCCACATGCCCAGAGCTCTCCACAGCGCATCCAGAAGACTATAGACACTGTCCTTGAAAATCTAGTTTGCATGTGCACCATTAGAGCTCTCAATTATCAAGCCTTGCTGGCATTTGTTGGGTCACTGGAGAAGCTCAAATAGCAATACTAGAGCAGACATCTGCAAAATAATAGCTGTCCCTAGACAACTGGGACAGAATACAGCTGAGCTCTGATATGCAGCTGACTTTAAAAATCGTTATCCCAGACTCTGTCTAATCTTATGTCTTTCCCCTGAGAGCATCCAGTACTAGACCCTGCACAGCGAGCACACTTACTCACTGTAAAACTTGCTAGTTTCTTGTAGACTTGTTTTCTTGCTAGTTTCACTTGGTAATCATTAGAGGCCACAGTTGTTAGGCCCAGTCATTTCACCGTGGTGAGTGTATAGAAATTCTATCTTTATTCATGAAAATCTCTAGCCCATTCACCCTTAAAAAACAAAAAAACACTTTTACAAATATATTCCAATAGACTGAGAGCTCTTACCTTCGAATTGTTCTTAACAAGGTAGACCTGGCCTCATTGTGGAAGGTAATGATGACACTGGTTGGCGGGAGATCTGGACGATAGCGCAAAGTCATACAGCTGAGGAGGGAGAAAAATGAAAAGGTCATTCAAGCGCTGAAATTAAAAATGGGCTCTCATTTCATTAACAAAAGCGTTAGAAGTAGATGGTCCTCCAGCCTCTATTAAGGGTGAGTTTTTCCTGCACGAATCCTTTCTGATGGAAACCAGAAACCCAAGAATAAGTCACTGAGGAATAAAGCAGAGAAAGAGCTTAACTATCATTATTAGGAAGGGATGAGCATGTAGGTCCCTGGCTTGCAATCCTTTTCTCTAACCACTGCTTCCCAATTAGCACACTGCTGGAGTCATCAGCTTCCCACATCCCCAGAAAGTGAGAAGAGAAAGGCCTTCCTTCATCACCATCACCCACCAACGAATGGGTGTCACCAATACCATGTGGTGACATGACCCCAGCTTACAAATAAGTGGTTCCCTTCCACTCTCAGATGTTGCACACTTAGAGCTAAGGAAACGACAGCTCCTCTTTAGAGAAGCAAATGGGCTTCAATGGGCTGTGATTTTTTTTTTCTGGTCAAAGCGTCAAGAAAGCTGCTCTCTTCTCCTGACTCTGAGGCTGACCCTGGCCTGACCGTGGACAAGTCAGCTCACCTCTCTGTGCCTGCTTCTCCGCTCATGCTGTATTTCATCTGTTCAAACTAAAGTCTCTTCAAAGCAGCATCTCCTGCTCATTAATATTTACATAGCACTCGGCACAATGGGAACACGTTCTCAAAGCACCAGGGATTCTGGGTACTATCATAATATAATGAACAATTTATACCATCACGTTTCCGCTCCTTAACCTCTCAGGGTTTTATGTTAAAAACTGTGTAAAACCAGAAGGCGAGGAATTGTCCTGCCAATTTGTAAAACTGACTGACTGAACAGCCTCCTCAAGTCCACCATAGGGTAACTGCCTTCTCCTCTTCCTCCCCACACTGTGAGGTATTTATTCTGCTAGTGCCCCACAAAGCCTGCAAGAACTTTGTACTCAGATCCCCAAGATTTTGTCCTTCATTACATCAAAGGGTTTCTGGGCAAGCACAGAAAACTAATCTACCTCCTAAGAGAGGAATAATTTTTAAAAGGCTTTTTAGACATGTTACATTGCCCCTAGTGCCTTAGAAAGTAGACAGTCAGTTCTGATGTGCTTTATAACAGTTAGGAAACCATCACCTTCAGAAAAGGTACTCCACATTAACATCAGCATAAGTGAGATGAAATACGGGACCTTCATACAATAGATAATGCATAGGTAGGGTTCTTGCAGCTGTAAATAAGCGGCAAGTCTTACTTTAGGGTATAGCTTAGGGTTAGCGATGAGAGGAAGAGAAAGCATAGAGGAGTTGGTTGGAACAGGTCTCGAAAGGGGCTGCCAAAGGAAGGGGTGCTGCCAAGAGACCTCTCTTGCCAGGACTTTTTCGTCAGGAACAGAAATCAAGGGTCTCAATCCCAGCAGTGGCCTGAACAAATCTTTTCAGCTTAGGGTTAGGGTTGAGAGGAGAAAGCATAGAGGCGCTGTTGGAGTGTGTCTCGAAAGGGGCTGCCAAAGGAAGGGGTGTGCTGCCAAGAGACCTCTCCTGCGAGGACTTTCTCGCAGCTTATAAAGTTTTAGCTGCAAGTCTTATAAAGCCACTAAGATGGCATGAGTGTCATGTAGATTTCTGTACTGTCTGAGCTGAATTGGATTATCATGTGTATTTTTTTTTCTTTCTTAAATTATGCCTGCTTTTCTGTCAATATTTACTCCATGAGGATGAAAGGAATCACTCATAGGTTATTCTCGTATTGAATTTATGCCAATATGGAGTTTTGAAACTACAAATAGAAAAAAAAAAAAGGCCATAGATATCTCAAAGTCTTCCAATTTCCTCCTTTGTAAGACTGAAATTGATTGCAGTTTTGCCTCTTCACTTCCTAGCCATTCCTGAGTACATGTGCTGATGAATCCAATGGAAGAGGTCTCAAACCAGGACAGTTGATGTCCAGGTTGCATTTCCCTATATTTTAGTTTTATGTCAACTTGGAGCTTTGCATTAGGCCCATCTCAGTACAAGGAGAAGCTTTGAGTAACCCAGCACTACTGCTTGTACTAAAGCAGACGACTCTTTTGGTTTATCCGTTCGTGCGTCCTGCTTCCAGCAGTGGCCAACACCCATCGCTTCTGAAGAGAGCCTAAGACACCAGACTGCAGGTTGGCCACTGTAAGGTGTTTTCCTAGACTCCCTAGAAGCAATCAGGCTGTGTCCTGAAGCACAAGACCTGAGCGCTCATATTATCCATGGTTTACTAGCAGATGTAAAAAGAGCTACTCAGTTCCAGCTTTCTGCTCTCTTTCTCTGACTTCCTAAAGCAATGATTTCTATAGGTTGGCCTCAAGGTAAGTGATTCTGAATTGATTGTTTCCTTATTTACTCGGCTTTAATGGCATAGCCTGACTGCAGGGACAGAAGAGAAGAAAGGGATTTAACACTTTTCAGAACATCCTTCAGAAGGTGAAAACAGCAACTGTAACCTCAGCTCCCTACTGCCCTTCTTCCCAGGTTAAAACTTCATGGCTGTTTTTAATTACTTTGACTGTTACCTGACGAAATTCACGGTTTTCAAACGGCAATGCCATCATGTAGCTACTCTGGAAATCTGCATAAACCTCTTACATCTTTGCTGTTCTTTCTAGGTCCCTTTCAGCCCCTGCGATAACTTGAAGATGACACACCAGTGTCAGGAGTACACATAACGAACGCCCAGCCCAATGAGCTCTGTATCACAGCAGCTGCACTCGTTTTTGCCCACATGCCACTCGCACACTCTTCTCCGATTGCCTAAATGCTTCCAATACATTCCTCAAATGAAGAGGGAAATGGAACTGGGCAAGTACTTTTTCAACAAACCGTAAGTCAGTTCCCCCAAACTCTGGACCACAGTACCTGCACGGCTAAGTCAAAAAACCAACAAGAAAACTCAGTTGGAAAGGGAGAGGAGAAAGGAAATAAAAATAGTCAAAAATTGTGGTTTGATATTATCAACAGAGAACGTTGCACTGAGAAATGCCAAAATGTTTGAGTTTTTTTTTTTAGTGAGGTTTTTCAGCTTTTCATTTGGAAATTGCTTTTCTGTTTGTTCACAAAGTGACCTAAGCTAAAGGTAGAAAGAGCATGCAGTGGGTTAAAAAATTCCAGAAATAAGAAAAAGATGACATCTTGGGTGGAAGAGAATATTTGCAAGCTCACACTAAGTTAAATGCTGTTTTCTATCACTGCTTCACTCAAACCCTCTCCCAAATCCTGTCTCTGCTTGACCAAATCAAATTTCCCATTGCCACCCTCATCTTTTAGCATAGTCACCAACACAATAAATCCATTATTCAACCAATTCTAATTCTGGATACATCCTAAAAGGACCGCAAAGGTGTGTGGCCAGTCAGCATGCAGAGGAAAATTTGATGACATTGGCCCATGTGGTAGCACCCTCATTCATCAAAGTTACACTTCAGGGATGCTAAAAGACAGAGAGTTTCTGAATTACCAAACACCACCAGGTTATGCCCTAAGCTACCAGTCTGGGTCACTTTGGCCCCTTGCATCATTCAGTAACGCGCTTAAATTGAACTTTCCCAGTTTGATTGCATGAGAAAAACTACTGCTGTTGAGTGTGGTGTTTGCTGTGCACAGGCTCAGCTCTTGCTTGCTTTGCAAAGCTGCAGTGACGGACTACGATTGCTCTCTCTGTGCTATTTATATACAATTATATCCTAACTGTTCCCAGATGTGTGTCCTTCCACCCACTTTAAGCATGGCATCAAGAGGGATTCTGCGTAGCAAGCAAGGGAAGCTATTTCTGGCAAAAGAATAAAAAAAAGGTGGAAAATACTAAGTCATCAAGACTTCCCTTACGTTATTACAACAGCTAGTAAGTAATGCCACAATGTATGCATGATACATCACCCCCAAGTGGGAGTGTCAGGGATACTGCACACGGGCTGAGTCTGCTGGTGATATGACAAAGACTCCCTGTATTTGACAATAACTTATCTTTAAAAGTCCAGTTGTTGCAGTATCAGATGACTATGCCCTGGATTAGTCTAATTAAACAACGTGCATACAGGACACACTGAAATATCACACACAAAGACCTCCAAAGCTTGGTCACTGGCTCTGCAACTTGCCCCCAACTTCTGGGTAATGAGGCTTCTAACATCTCAAAGGTGGGGTTGATCACTGTGCTGCAGCTACTGAGCAGGGAAGGTGCGCTCGTGCTTGGATCCAACAGCGCTCACAGCCTCACCCTGCCTTTGTGTGCATCATTACACCAGAGGTGGGAATCATCTCTCCAAATCCCAGCTGTCAAAGTAACCCCAACTAAGGCTGAGTCTGCCAGATGGGACCCGCTCTCCAGAGGGGGAGAGGCATGTCCAACGGTGAGCTGCTGCACCTGAAGAGATGCTTCCAAGGCAGCTGAACAAACCATCCTTTGAAAGCACTTATCTTCCTTGAGGTGAGGTTTGTTTCAGGCACTTGGAGTGCAGGATATGTGATGCTTGATATTGCCCTTGCACAGGCTATTACACTTGGGCTGATCCATTAGGAGCCTCCCAAACTACAGCCAAGAGGAGAAGGCTGCCAAGTGCATGAGGAAGTTAGTCAGTCAAAGGAGGAGTGAAAAAACTCTGGTGAGCTTCCTACAGCTGGTTCCTTTCTTTTTTTTTTTTTTTTTTTCACCCAGTGTAACCGCAGCTAAACATCCTGGCTTCTGAGAAGGCAGATTTCAGTTTAAGTTGTTGACTACAAGTGTTTTTTTGGCACTTGCTTGGGTAATAAAAACCACAGCTTGGAAAAGCATTAAATTCAGCATGTCCAGAATTATTCTGTGTGACAATTACATCTGGGGTAATTTCAATTTAATACCTCACTGCAAGTGAAAATTGCAGCATGCAGCCCTAAAATTGCTGTAATAATGAAAATAAACCCGCTAAGAGCTGCCTGAGCTACCTCAGGCTGTCACTGGATAAATGCTTTGCG